GGGTCTCACAGGATCATTTCTTCTTATAAATAACCTATACTGAGTGATAATGCCTCACAAAAGGCTTTAGCAATTTTTAACATTTCCACAAAATCTTGGATGACTTCAGAAAAAAATGCAAAGTAGTTTTGCAAAAATTTAAGACAGAAAATCAGGTATATCTATTCAGAAAACTACTTAACAATCTTGGTCGATAAACTATATTCTTTGTTGCATTTTATTTTAAAAGACATAAATTGCTTCTCAGTTTACAGAGAATGCAGATCAGTATTTAAGCAGCAAATTAGCAAGATGGCACTTGTTATAAAATGCCACCCTTTCACAATTATGGTAAAGTAAATTCTGTATCCCTAAATTGCTGAGTTATGATCGCAACTTTTCTTAGCTTTCATATTAATTCTGAAAAATCTAGTATAATTTTTGAGGTTTGACAATGAAAGTCACAACTATAGCAGTTAAGGGAACTGTACAATGTAAAATTTTTGCCTATAATTTTATCAGTAATAAAAATCAATTCTTATTAAGTTAAATCCCAGCTTTATAGATTTATCTAAACAAAAATTATCTACAGCTATTATTTTTACTTTAGCTCCTAACTACAACCTTCTAAGTTCTGTTTACTACTTAAAAAGGAAGGAGATGTATGCCTAGATGTACATAACACATGGTAAGTTAGACCCTTTTGAGACAAGGTCCCACTATGGAACCCTGGCTGGCCTGGAACTCATGGAGCTCTACTTGCCCCTGTCTCTCGAGGACTGAAGGCGTATGCCAGTGTGCCAGGCAGTGCTTAGGTTTCATAACACTAGTCACTCTTTTCTGTTGTAACATTGGCAAATAAGTACAAACTGTATCTAATTTATAAAAAGTACATTCTGGTATACTTTAGCTCACTTAAATATAAATAATTTTTTAAAAACTGGTTAAAATGTTACCTAAAATATAGAAATTGCAGAAAAATCTCCAGATATAATTTCAATTCTAGCCCCTTTCTGAAACTTAGATAATAGATATAAATGGAGTGGATCAACCCAGGTTTTTACTATTATACTGTTTTATAGCAAAAAGCAATATACTAGAAAGTATTTCTGCATACACCTTTTAATGAGTTGTTGCAAACACACAAGAAGTGGCAGTGAAATCTCTAACAGAATAGAAGATACATGCAGTACCCTCAAAGTGCATAAAGTCCAGCAGCACCATAAGAATGTATTATCCAAACGTTAGAAGACTCCAAATATAATCAGTGCTTGAAAGAGCCTATTTTCCATTACAGTAGCCAAACTTATCAAAAATTGTCAGTACAAAAATAGCTTCACAAACTGCTGATATAAGTTCTGAACTCTCAAAAACATTATAGCAGTTATTTACCAATATAATACTGCATCTCTGAGAATCAAAGTTATAATTAACAAAATAAAAAATTTTAATTTTCAGTAGTATATTTCAGTATCACATTCCAACAGCACTACAATAATATAAAACTTAATACTTCTGAGAGAATTTGGGTTGTCTTAAATCTTATTTAAAAAAATCTAAACACTTATTGTAAGAGAGAACACATTCTAGAATTCCAAACAAACGACACCAGGAAGCAAACCATTACCTTGAAGGAGAGAGGGAAACTTTTGTACACGTGTCCACACAAGTTCGTCTATTAGGATCTAAGTGCATTTTAGTTACCAGCTAGTTTAAGACTACAGTCTCAAATTACACCCTCAAAAGTCACTTCAGTTTGTCAATGAGTTTTTGTTCAATCCCAAAAGGATATTATCATGTAAGTTAAAAATAATTATAAAGAAAAAAGCAATTTAGAAAAGATGTAATAACATATCCTCAAAGAAATTAGTAAACATTCACCCTCACGTTTTCCTGTTTTCCATCTCCTAACCTTTTGAAAGCATTTAAAATAGACCAAAGAGTGTTCACTCTTCAAAACATATTCGATTAGACTATTTTTGCATAGTTTATGAAAGGGACACAAAACAGTCCTATAGCACTTGACTAAAGAGTACATAAGAGCTCATATGCTTACACTTTAATTCAGCAGTATAGTTTTTAAAATTCAAAGAAAGTAGTAGATGAGTCAAGGTAAGGCATTATGCCACTGAATTAGGGAAAATAAAACTGTCACAGCTTAGTTATATTTCCTTAAAAGTTCAAGATAATTTTAAGAAACTATTGTGGATGAAATTATGGATCTAGGATTTGCTTTTAAAATAATACAACACAGGCTGAAAAGTTGGCTCAGTGCTTAAAAGCACTTGTTGCTCTTATAGGTTGCTCAAGGTTCAGATACCAGCACCCACATAGTGGCTCACAACCATCTGTAACTCTAGTTCTAGGGGACCTGACACCCTTTTCTGGCTTCTTTGGGCACCAGGCATGGGCATGCCTGCATGCAAAACACCCATACACATAAAATTTTTTTAAAATTATTATGTATGCATTATGATATGTATACCTATATACATACTAGGGCAGGGTCTGAAGAACTGAGCTGTCAAATCAAAGTGATTACTAATGAGCAACTGGACCTAGGACACATAAACTAAATTTTAGGATTTAGTTTTCTCATAAGCCAAAGGCATATGCTTTCAAACTATGATGCTTCACATTGTAAGTCAGCATGCACATACGTATGCGTAACACTGAATGAAACACTACAGTCAGCTTTACTGATGTCTGCTACTTATCTTCTTTTTCAGAAGCCATGAAAAACCTATTAAGTTGATTTGAAACTACCATCGTTTGGGAAATCTTGAATAATACCATCTCTGAGGTCTTCTATCGTTTTGACAATCAGGAATCCTTGCAGTAACTGTAAATAATCTACCTCCCATGAAAATCTTTATTTCAATCAAGGAAGCAGATGAATCCTGAATCATGTATCATTGAATTAAAAGGAATACTTTTATAAAATCCTATAGCTGGGAATTCTTAAAATAATAAGAAAAACTGTATGATTATAAAATGCCTTCAACATAATTGTAAGGTTAAACTGATCTCCTAAGTTTTCCATTTAGAACACTGTCAAATCCTCCATGACAAGTCATGGGTCACAGAAGTATCTTCAAGGTAAAAGTGGTTCCTAACAGACACCCAAGAACACAGGAAAGAGTCAGTAGATGGGGACCAATTCTAGGGAAGTAACATCAATATTAAGGATTAGGAAAACAATAAACATTTAGGAAATTTTAAATGTATAAACTAGAAGGAGCTTTTACAAACGTTAAATTTAAAAATTCCTATTTCCAAATGCCACAGTATTCAGTACAGATGGCTCAATTTAGGTGTTAAATTAATTATATAATTACGATCAGTGCAGTTCAGTCTTTTAAATGGAAAGGTTAAATATTACTTGATAGAAAGGAAGTTTTTCCTTTCCTTAATGCAGTTAAAATATTTTAGAATCCTGTCCTACAATATCATTCTTTATAATTAAATAATGTAATTTTTGTAATGCTATCAAAGAATTGCAGTCTTGTTAAAAGACTGCTCACTACATCAACATGAATGTGTGGTAGTCGTCAGATTGAGGGAATGAGGGTTTCCTGAGTTCAGCTCTCTGTATAGCTAGAGAAAAAAAGCACTTGCACTACAGTAACTCAAATCATGAACAACTTACTTCAAAGTGTTTTACTATCATAAGTAGAGTTGGTATTAGAGCATCCTTACATTCAAAATATCCCATTTAGTCTTAAAAATCACGCCTGATTTCCTTCCTCCTCAGCCTGATAAGATTACTCAGTGCTTGTCTAATATGATTAATCCTATGAACCTATTACTTTATACAGTTAAATGAAAATTAAAATTCACTTAGGACAGCTTAAAATATGTCACTTTGAACTCTCCCCCCACTCCCCAGACAGGGTTTCTCTGTGTAGCTTTGAAGCCTGTCCTGGAACTCACTCTGTTGCCCAGGCTGGCCTTGAACTCACAGAGATCCGCCTGCCTCTGCCTCCTGAGTGCTGGGACTAAAGGCGTGTGCCACCACTGCCAAGCTTTCACTTTTCAACTTTTAATTTGTCAAAAAATTTAATTTTCTAAAACTTGGTCCCTCCAAAACAATGTGCAGTAAAATAAAACTATTTTCTTAATTTTACATAAACTACTATTCAGATAAGAGTAAAAATTAATGTTAAGGCAGATTACAGATAGGCTTTGTTAAAAAAATAATTTCAATAGTACCATTTCACATTCCTCTTTACAGTCTAATAATAACACAGTGTGGCCAATAATTAATGTAATTAGCTTATAATACATTTAGAACACACTGTATCTTTTAGACTACAGAATTCTTTTTAAAATTCAGAAGCAATTTAAGCTTTTCTTCTGTTGGTACACAAAACAGTCTGCCATTACTTTTCACAGGCTCCAGCCTGGTATCAGCTGTCGTCTGTGAACCGTGGTACGACACCTCTAGGACTACAGTGAAGCTTCACTTTAAAGTGGGAATCCGATTGCTTCTAATTACAATGTATAATTCTTAAGTTACACACATGAAAACAGAAAACTAGGTAACAAAAGGGGTCTTCAAAAAATAGAAGAGATTTTCCCAGCACTCAGGAGGCAGAAGCAGGTGGATCTTTGTGAGTTCAAGGCCAGTCTGGTCTACAGAACAAGTTCTAGGACAGCCAGGGCTGTTACACAGAGAATCCCTGTCTTGAAACAAACAAACAAACAAACAAACCCCCAAAAAAGGATTTATGTTTTGTTCCATTGAAAAAGTTTCTTGTATAATTAACTCACTATCCCTTTTTCCACACAGATAATGAAAATATTCATTCAGTCAATTTGAGCAACCAAAAACAACAAATTAATTAAAGAAGTCTGACCTGGGCTTTCCACTCAAGAGTTTCTGAACCAAATAAGCCTCCATATTTGCACATCCTACTGAATCATGATTGCTGAGTTGAACGGGTACCTATGTGAGAACAGCAGCACATTCTGATATTTGCACATCCTACTGAATCATGATTGCTGAGTTGAACGGGTACCTATGTGAGAATGGCAGCGCATTCTGAGCTGGCTCAGCCCTTGGCTCCGAGTTCTGTGTCACATCCGGTGTCCGTTCATCGTCCGTGCCATTGATGCTTTCTGGGGTTAAAGGAGACTGAAGATCTCCTCCTGCGGACTCCTATAAACAAAAGAAGAGAGAAAGGAGAGTGAGAGATTGCTTTCAAGTGTTACACTTTTGTTCAAGCATACAATGTCATCTAAATGAAGTCCTTGTGATGAAATCAGATAGAACTAAAATTTGAATTAGATTAAAAAAAGATAATTATTTTTTCACGAAAGCAACTCATAAGAAAATTAACCAAAATACAATATAATTTAAAATTATAAAGATAACAATTTAGAAATGTAATTTTAAAAACGTGAAAATATTTGAGTTAATAAAAGTAATCAAGTGAAATTAATGGTATTCATAAAATTACTCTAGAATGAAAAAATGGCAGCTGGGCAGGGTGGTGTTTGTCTACAATCCCAGCACTCAAGAGGATGAGGCAGGAGGATAGTATGCTTGAGGCCAGTCTGAGCATCGCAGTGAGACACTGTCTCAGAAAAACAAAACATCACCACCTCTGGAGTAAGGCAATGTGGGAGGCATTGGTAGCTCCATCCTTCCTCACCAGACTCTGTACTAATTCAAATGATGCCTGAAACGAAATTTCTTTAGTTTCATCCTTTTTAGCTAAACTAAAACAGGCCCTTTATTATTTAACAAACATTCACGAAAGACTCATTCCACCTCGTTCTTTCATACTTCAACAAAACTGTCAATACCTCTCTCTTCTGTGCAGAGGTCTGAGAGGCAAGTCTGGGGAGAAACTTGGTGATTGTCATACACACAGGAGATGGAGCTGAGATTCCAGGCAAGCACCCATCATCCTCTGGTGTCAATTATTCCCCACACTGTCACCATGCGGGCCACCATCTCTGGAGCCCCAGCTTCTGGCAACTGTAACAGTCCGTACACAGGGCACAGTTCTGCCCGGCATATAGCAAGGTCATGGGTTTCCTCTGCTCCTGTCTGGCAGAGGTCACCTTTCCTTTAAGACACTGCTTCGCTGACTGCTGAAACTCAGACTTCTCATGGAGGGTTTCACAGAGTTCTAAATAGAAAGTCTAGCAGACTAACAAACTTTTCATTATGTTAAAAGCATTTTACAATTTTATATCAATATTTAGGATTAGCAAAGCAGTAAGCATTTAGAAACAATCCCGCCCTCCAGCCCCCACAAAAAAAAAAAAAAAAAATCGATCAATCCTGGGGAAAAAGAGGAATAGAAAGGAAAGAAAAAGAAAAAGAATATCTGAGTCTGAATAACCCATCTATTTTTTTTTTTTAAAGATTTATTCTCTAGTTCATATGTAGGTATGTGTGTTTGTGTGAGTGTATGCACGTACCCACAGAGGCCAGAAGAGTGCAGAGCATTGGATCCCCTGGAGCTGAAGTTACTTGGGGTTGTAAGCTCCCTGACACAGGTGCTGGAAACTGAACTCTGGTCCTTTGTAAAAACAAGTATTCTTACTGCTGAGCCATCTTTCCAACCCCTAAGTAATACTGTAAGATGTACTAACTGATTGAACGGGTCAATCTTCACTCTGTTTACATACTTTGTACCCAGTAACTGCATTAAACGCCTAACAGGAGCCAGTTGTATTTACCTTCAAGACTGTTTATGCCAACTGTATTTACATAATTAATAACTGGATTAAATATTATGTAAATTAATCAATTTAGAATGCTAAACTAGAGTAGTTATTTTAATTAAAATCAAATGAAATGCTCTAAAATGTCTGAAAAGTAAATGGCTATGAAGTAAAATAAAATTCACAGGTGAATTAAGCACACATAATACACTATGTATGTTTTTACATACTATCATACCAGATATCAGAGAAAAGATATAAAAATAGAATATTCTGATATCTTTGCAAGTGCCAAGCTTTAGCTCTATTTAACAACCTTGAATTCATCTCCCTCTGCCTCCTGACTTCAGACACAATGTGACCAGCAGCCTCACCTTCTCTGACGTAGTGAACATATATCCCTTTGAATTGCAAAGCCCAAATAAACACACGCATAAAAACAAAAACAAAGCAAAGCAAAAAACCAACCTCAAAACTCAAGAAAATGTGTAGAGGGCAAAAAGATCCTGTGTACACAGATAAGCACTAGAGAAGCCAGGAAAATTAAACACACACCTGATCTCCCCTGCGCTCTCCAAAGGGAGAAGCTATTTGGCTGTTCTCCCAGAATGTTGGGGGAAAATGTAGTTTACAACCTGGAAATCCTTTGCTACCTGCGGAACCTGTCTCTGCCCATCTCACTCAGAACATTATGTTTGTTAATCCCAGACCCTTCCCCCCTAAATCTTGAACATTGCTTCTAGGCCTTGAAACTTTTCCTGGTGAGAGATGTCATCTGTACTTTACAAGAGACTAAATGACTTCTGTGTCATCCTAGGGCCAGGCCAGCCGTGACACCCACAGACACTGTGCTTACTCAGTCACTCGCCCTAGACCCTTATCTTGAGCACTGTTTCTGAGTCAAGAGAACCCATTTCAGGGAAGAAGCCATACATGTACTTTGTAAAGAGCTCCATGGTAAACATATCTTGAACTTGGCTGAACTCAAGGGGATGAGTTGTTATCTGGAAACTTTATCCAAAATTGCACTGTGCTTAAATTTGGCAAAAATATACAAGCTATATCTGAATATATCAGACTCCAAGACATCTCGGCCCCGCACCGGTTACCTATATCAGGGTGGACCGAGTTTCGATCTTCCCTCAGCAGGCTCTTTCCCTGCCTGCTCTACAGCCTGCAGAGACCTCCCACAACAACTGACTGTTAGTATCGTCAGTCTGTTAGAATCAAAACATAGAAAAGAAAGGTAGGATTCAAGTCAACAACATATTCAAAGGTTTTAGATTAAAATATTGGAGAATTAAAATTATTGAATGTAAACATAAAAATTTTAAGTAAGAATCCTTTAAAATGTTTTCCTCACATCCTACTCCACCGGCCCCAATAATGGGGACTGAACCTATGGCCTCCTGCACATTAAGCAGACACTGTATCACTGAGCTATAGCTCAACCCTGGTTTTTACTTACTGTTATGATAAGACAGGATCTTATTTATTTAAGTTGCTGGAATGGCTCTAAATTCAGCATGTAGCCCAGGCATACTTTACAATCCTCCTGTCTCAACCTCCAGAATACTTGGGATTACAGACCTGTTCAATCCTTAGCTCTCTTTTTTGATTAATAGACCAACTATTGGTTTTGATTCCAAGAGACAAAAAGAGCCTGTAGCCTACAGTCCCAATCTGTTCCACCCCTTCCTACTGCTCTAGACTTCACCTAGACGACTTTCAGCCTAGACAGACTTGACTAACAGTTACGGTGCTACACTGACAGGCTCGTGCTAACTTTAACACTCTCCATACTCAGCCAGGAGTATGCACTGCCTTAGTTCAAGAGTAACTCCTGTCTAAATGCAAGACTCCTTTTATTTCATGGTTTGAAGGAAATGGAATGACTTGTCTATAGCATTCCTTACATAAGACCAATCACATCAGTATCTCCTGAAAAGAAAGCAGAAATACAAATATCTGGGCTCCATCTTAGACTTACTAAATAAGAAACTATAGTGTGCTTTAATAAGTTTCCAAAAGAATTCTGACGCATGTTGTGCTGGTTGTTTTTTGCCAACTTAACACAAACTAGTCATCTGAGAAGAGGGGATCTCAATTAAGGAATTGCCTCTATCAGACTGGCCTGAAGACAAGCCTGTGAGGCATTTTCTTGATGAATAATTGATGTGGGAGGGCCCAACCCAATGTGGGCAGTGCCACCTCTAAGCAGGTGGTCCTGTGTTATGTAAGAAAGCAAGTTGAGGGGGCTGGAGAGATGGCTCAGTGGTTAAGAGCACTGGCTGTTCTTCCAGAGGTCCTGAGTTCAATTCCCAGCAACCACATGGTGGCTCACAACCATCTATAATGGGATCTGATTCCTCTTCTGTCAGGCGTACATGCAACTTACATAAAAATACATGAATAAAGAAAGCAAGTTGAGCAGGTCATGAGGAGCAGGCCAATAAGCAGAGTTCCTCCATGGCCTCTGCTTCAGCTCCTGCCTCCAGGTTCTTTCCTGTCTGAGTTCCTGCCTTGGCTTCCCTCAACAGATTGTGACCTGGCGCATGTAAACCAAATAAACCCTCTCCTCCTCAAGTTGCTGTTGGTCATGGTTTTACCAAAGCAATAGAAACCCAAAGCCATATGGCATCTATGTTTTCCTAACAAGTATTATGTGCCACGCACTATTTAAAGACTTTATAATTATTCTCACCATTATAACCACACTCACTCAACAACAACAGGTGCCTCTATTTCCTAAGGATTTACTATATATATAAGCATTTTCTAATCCTTATTGAAGTCTCACAATAACCCTGAGAATATGTTGGTCTTATTCCCATTTTGTATGTCCAACATCCACCCCCCAGTTACTCACCTAATTCATAAAGCTAATAAAGGTTAGTGCCAAAATTCAAGCCCAGCTCTAGAGCACACATTGCTCACTAACCATGAGTTGCCATTACCCTTATCACACTCACCTCTCTCAATAAAGTGATATAATACTTATGCTAAGATGTATAAACACTTGAGTTAAACAACTTCTCTAGTCACAGAAAAAAAACATTTAAGTTTGTCTGGCTTGAAAATGCTCATGGTTGTTTGTTGTTTATTTGTTGAGGTAGAGGGGAAGGGAGGTTCAGAGGAGAGAGGGACAGAGAAGCAGAGGGAGGGGATAAGGAAGAGAAGGGGCACATGAGTGTTACAGCAGGAGGCGTTAGGGTCAAGAGCTGGGTCTCTCCTTCCACCATGTGGCTCTGGGGATCAGTTTTAGGTTACAGGCTTGCACAGCAAGTGATTTTATATGCTGAGCCATTCAATTTAAATATTCCCATTCAAACAAAAGAGAAACATTAGGTTGTCACAAATGTAGGGAAGAGGAGGAAGGAGAAAATGCTTTTTCTTCTTTTCTCTCTGGCTCCTACACAGTAAGTTAACAGACTTGAAATATTTGAAAAGACAAATTAAGGCCTGTTTCTCAAGCACTGATCAAATTAAGATATTATTCATTCTTTTTATATCATGGCATTTTTTCAAATATGATCATCTTTTCTATATTCATTTGACCAAAGCAAAAGCTTAAAGACTTTCCTTCCACCAGAGATAAGAAATTAGCTTATAACTTGTAACAGTTTACAATCAATTAAACACAATGCTAAGTTATAACTGGAGAAACAGTAACTAAAGACAATGGCATGTATCATCCACTACAACTTTATTGATATTTTGTGTATTTACTTACTGAATGTGCTTTGTGTTGCATCTTTTGGTAACAAGAAAATCATTCACCTAAAGAATCAGAACTCCCAATACATACTGGCACATAATTTTGAGTGGCTTTTATGATTAAAGGAATCACTGGAGCAGCAAAGCATTTGAAAAAGAGATTCAATGCAGTTTCACAAAGAACACCCAAATTATCCCAGGTTGCTGCAAGTATGGAAGAATGGACTTTGGTTTCAATCCACAATAAATGTTGTCTGTGAGCAAAGACATGTAGTAGAACTCTCCTAATTAAAATAAAAATGAATTCTTTATACTTAGTGAGGCTTACCAAATAGTTAGATATAAGTAGATTTTTATGACCAGGAAGAACCACATGCCTTAAATTTTATAATGCTTTATATTGTGTAATGTTTGACTTTTAAAAATTATTATTATTATTATTATTATTATTATTATTATTATTATTATTATAGTGGGGGCATATACAAACTATGGCAGGCATGTGGGGTATAGAAGACATGGATGTTGGGGGGATGCACAAGCTATGGCAGGCATGTGGGTAGAGGACATGGATGCTGGTTCTCTCTTGCCACCTTGTCCACCTTGTGAGTTCTAGGGAGAGAACTCAGGTTGTCAAGATTGTACATAAGCAACTCTACTCTCACAATCATCCAATATTTAGTAATGTTTGACTAGGTAAACTGCTTCTCTCCTTTAGAACTAGCCAATACTTAGAGAAACTAGGAGCCTAGTGAAGGCCTTAGATGTCAAACTAGCCATGCTGGTACCACACAAAACATTTTCTTATCTGGCCTCGTACTGAAGAAACCTATTCCGTTGTCTTAATCACTCCAGAGCCAGATTAAAGCCAGTAGAAACTGAGAGCCAATGAAATTGCTCAAACTAGCCAATCGTAAACTATTTTTATTGTTTCTTCACTTTTCCCATGAAATCCTAAGCGAAAGTCCGGCACAGATTTCCTTTGCTCTTTCTGCCTCTTATCTACTCCCTCTGGCTTTCCCACGTGGTTCTGCAGGGTGTGTCACACCTAGCTTCTAGAACACGAGCGAGCACATTTCTGTTTGTTTTTCTGAGACTCTCCTTTCTGTCTTACCACTGCTGGGGTAAAAGAACACTGACAAAAACACAGGTCGATCATTTTGTACTTTTGCTCTTCTGCTGTTAGGTATTGTAGTGGTTTGAAAGAAACTGGACCCAGTGGCACTATTAGGAGCTGTGGCCTTGTTGGAGAAGTGTGTCACCGTGGGGGCAGGCTCTGAGGCGTCTTCGGCTCTGGCTTCCCTCAGTGTGACTGTCAGTCCACTTCCTGTTGTCTTAAGATGCAGCGCTCTCAGCTCCAGCATCATGTCTGTCTGCACGCTGCCATGGACTGAACCTCAGAAACTGTAAGTGAACCCTTCAATTAAATGTTTTACTTTTGAAGAGTTGCTGTGGTCATGGTGTCTTTTCACAACAATAAAAACTTAAACTAAGACTGGAACATAAAGGTTATCTGAGTTAATATTGATTTTTAAAACTATTCTTGTAAACACTGATGTATTTCTCTGTCAGCAGAGACTAATTAAGAGTGCATTTCTCTATCTACTCTGGTAATTAATTTTGCCATTATTCTTCCAAATTTTACTCTGGCGTAAGGATACGATGGTCTGAAGTGAGCAGGGCTCACACATGAAAGCAGGTCCAGCACACCCACCTGTGAAGGTGTACTGGTTAGTTCCATCTTCTCTTGCGACTTCTCCTTTGCTAGACGAGCAGCTTCTTTAAATTCCTGAAACTTTTCTGCAAACTGAACACACAGAGACTACATGCATTAGCCAACTAGCAGTATGCCACAGGGCCTGCGCCTCCTTGGTTTTCCTTCATTTCCTGAACTGACTCTTACACAAGCAGCGCGGCCTCCCAAGCACAGCTGGTAGTATGAAAATGAGAAGAGAGCCTAAACCCCAGACGCTGAACATAAGCGCTGCGATAAATCTTATTCAAAACATCCCCATATCAAGAAGTTAGAATCTGGTAAGCTGGCTTATCTGTATTCTTCTCTGGTTATTAAGAAACAATTTACTAAGACTCACATGAGTGGTAGAGTCAGCAGACAGGCGTATACTATACTTTTTTTTTAATTGCTAAGAAAATGCAACCATTTAAGTGTCTATTTGTACATCAAAATACTAAGAAAATGCTTTTAACTAATAATAAAATATAAATGCCCATATTATGTAAGTCATACAGACACATTACATATCATTATATTATCACTAACAACTAAAAAACTCATTAGCAAAGATTTCTAAATAGCCAATTCAGTAACAGAAAGCAATAACATAAAGTTAAAAAAGAAAAAGAATAACATAAAAGGTCATTGAGATGAAAAAATTATTCATGAAATACTAATTCTTAGAAACACCACTGTAAGACACAGTACCTATTTGTTTGGGATATGGAAGCCATCTATCACTATATTCAGATACAGTAAGTATATTTTAACTTGAAGAGGGAAAAAAATCTTATAACATAAAGCCATTCCCAGACACCCTCTCGCAAAACAAACAAGTAAGAGGCCGTAGGCTGAGACTGTATGGACCGACAGGTTTTGACTGACTACTCCTTTACTCTGTAGCCTGAGACTGTATGGACCGACAGGTTTTGACTGACTACTCCTTTACTCTGTTTGCTAGCCACTCAGTAACTTGAAAAAAATGTAATGAAAGATTTAATTAATGTCAAAATTACTGAAGCTTAAAAGAGATCTCATAAAAGTTTGTTTCAGAAATCAACTTACAATTTTAGCTCTTTGTTGTGAAAAATCATGAAATTCATGTAGTAAAAAGTATAATTTCTATCCTTTAGCAGACAACCCAAAGAAAGTTCTATAAAGTGTCTGAGTAATGGCTAATGTGTTAGAATAAGCATCTAACTTTTCAAGGAGATCATTTCTGGAAGAGAAATTCATCTGAACTGCTATACTGAGAAACTCTGATCTAAGACTCACAACTATACCACAGTTCAAAAATATATTTAGAAAGTAAGACTTGCTAAGAGCAGTCCTATTAGGCCACACTCACACTGTGTCTTATAAAGAATGGGTTATAATCACAAAGGCAATAGTTAAAATAGCTTCAAACTTTGAGCTTTAAACTTTAATTTATATTGAAAACATACACGAAAAGGAATGTTTACAACTAAAACACAAGAAAAACAAATAGATTATTTCAACTACTAAACTAATTATAAATCAAGTCAATAAATAGTCACAAAGGTGTAAGACATTTAAAATAACACACTTTAAAGGATCTGAACAATTTCTACAGTAAATAAGCTTAAGGTTTAATGTATCTATGAACTGAATCTACCTACAAGAGTGTTACCTTGCATTTGAACAACTTAATTTTCAGATTCTGTTGATATCAAATCTCGTGTAAGCACTGAAATTCTGTTAAAGGCAAACCCTTTACACAGAGTAGTTAACACAGAAGTTTTAGCACAGATCTTTGTCTTGTGGGCACAGACTCCAGAGAGCAAGGTGAGTGCTATTCATCCTAACCACCTCAGTGTCCTGTGCACCTTTCCACTCTCATATCCAGTCTTTCTGTGTAATTTCCACAAGAACTCAAGGTGCCCCTGATGGAAGCATGGGTGGCTTTCTTTATTGGCAGGACAACTGTTTTATTTCTAGTATTTAGCTGGTGAAGCTCTGCACTTTGTAAGTCTTTCTGGCCATCGTAATTCATTTGATCAGCACTACTTGAGAAATTCCTCTTGGTGCCAACTGGATCTCACTCTATACTGCAGACAGTTCAGAGATTCTACATCCAAGCAAATCAGAGTTTTCTCAACAAACAGTAACTTACACGACTGCTGTCATATTAAGAAACAAACAATAACAAAATCCAACTGAAATCTACATTCCTGCTAACTGTAACTTTCACTATTTGGAAGAGTTTATGCTTATCTTGAAGACCATCTCCAATTAATTTTTTTTTTAGCAAAATCCCTTCTGGAGAGGTAGTTCCCACCTTTTCCTTCCTGATACACATATAATTCACTATAATAAGCCCTCTTAGCCAGTGGTGACTATTCTGGATGTATATAATAAATCTTTATGCAAAATTATAAGGAATCCAAAGATATTTTTATTTTAATATGTTTATATTTATTTATAACATTTAATATTATATTAATATTCTTATTTTAAAGTCATTATAGTTCTAAAGTTCACAACTGAAATTAAACAAATTTCTCCAGTATTTTGTATTCTCTGTTTGCTATTATATATTTAGGACACATAAATTAGAGATGAAGATTTTCTCAGAGATTACTGAAATAACTTACTTTTGAAAGATGATGCTCAGAGGAGAATCCCAATCCGTAAACAGTGTTTGCCCGGCTATCAGCCCACTGGCCAAACTTCTGAGATGTTTTAGTAAATGTCATGTTTGGAGTGATGGTGCTATTTATTATTGCCTGAAAAATAAAGAAAAGTAGCCAGCCAAAAATAAGCAATAGGCATTTAAATACAAGATCATTGCAGCTACATAAAAACAGGATCATTTGTAACCCACAAAGTTAAATAAAGATAGTTGTAGTTGTGGCAATGTAGAAACATGTAACTAGTACAACTATAGATATATTTTTAATGATCCAAAAGATTTCAAAAGGTGTGTGTGTGTGTGTGTGTGTGTGTGTGTGTGTAGGTATGCGCACGCCTGTGCACACTAGACAACCTCAGATGTTGTTCTTCAAAAGCTGTCCAACTTGGTTTTTGAGAAAGGGTCTCCCACTAGGACCTGAGGCTTGCTGATTAGGTTAAGCTGGTTGGCTACCAAGGCTGAGGAATTCACCTGTCTCCCCTCCCTAGTGCTAAGATTACAAGCATTACCATGTAGTTCAGCTCTTGACATGGGTGCTGGGGATAGAACAGATCCTCATGTCTGCACAAGTAAGCACTTTACTGACTGAGAGAGTACCCAAGCTCCCAAAGATGTACCTTGTAAACCTACCGTTTTGTCACAAATTGATAATGGACAAATGTTAGCAGTTGCTTTTATCTTGGTTTTAGAGCTACTGTCCCTTTTTGGTAGAATGGCCATCAAACTCAGGACCTGGCACATACAAGGCAAGTGCTCAACCACTGAGCCTTCGAACGGGTTTGAATGTGGTCAGCTTCTTCCCTTTGAATGTTGAGGATCAGTATTTATTAATCTTAGATGCTATTCTCTGGAAACAAATAGGCTTTAGTCTTAACAGAATCTTTCAAAAAATAAATGTATGAGGGACTGGAGAACTATCTCAGTGGTTAAGAAGGTTAAGAGAACTGGCTATTCTTCCAAAAGACCTGGGTTCAATTACTAGCACTTACATAGCAGCTCACAGCTGTCTGGAACTCTAGTTCCGGGGGACCTGACACCTTCTGTTTGACTTTCCAAGCAACCAGCATGAATGTGGTGCACTGGCAGGCATGCAGGCAAAACACCTACATATATAAAATAAACTTAAATAAAAAATATATAAGGTATGAATGAATACAAATGACTTTGATATTTTAATGTATGATCAAGCTTTTTACAATCTAATTTACACAAAATATATTTTCATACAAAAAAAAACCTTTCAATCACTCAGCAGGCCTTTTTTCTACTCAAAGAAAAAACAAACTCCTAAGAAGTATTTTCACTTTTCTTATAAAATAATAGATTGGTGGCAATATCATTTCTATTTCGCATATATTTCTTAGAAGACACAGCATTCAGCACGTTAATAAAGATTCACTCTGGAGATCTTAACATGCTTCAGGTATTATAACATATTAATCCATGTTTTCTGACAGCGCTGGAAAGGAAAGGGTCATTTATAGTTGGGTAGTCCAGTATCCCTAAAATTAAGAAATATAATTGCACCAATAATAAAAACATTTATGTTGTCAAATCTGAAGTTGTCATCTAGCAAACTAGTAAATGGGCAATGGGAAGCTGAAAAAATGTCTATTTGTTTACCAAGTGACCCACTACAAATGTAAATGTTTATGCGCTATCGGGACCTGATGGAGCTTTAACAAGGACACATGGACATACACGTCCCACTACAGAAAAGGAAGATGGCACAATGGAAACTGGCTCCCTCCTTTCTCACAGGAAACAGATGTTATCTATTGTTATATGAGAGCTTTATCTTTGTACTTGATCAATTTCTCCATTGATATTTATAAAGCATCCTCACCAATTAGTTTAAAACAGCTTCCACTCACATACCCTTTTAGGTATGTAAAACATGCTAACAATTATTTTAACTTGTGGAGCAGTCGTCAAGTAAAAGTCGAGGGGCTGGAGAGGTGGGTGAGCAGTTTAGAGCATTTGTTGATCTTGCTAAGACTTTGATTCTTAGCACCTACATGGTAGCTTACAGCCACCTATAACTCCAGTTACAGGCATCTGATGCTTTCTTCAGTCCTCTGCAGGCACCAGGCAAGCACACGGTGCACACACATACATGCAGGCAAAATACTCATCCATATAAAATAAAATAATCTAAAAAGATTTTAGAAGGACTAACTCAAAAGAAGACTATAAACAAACAACCAAAGATCATTGATTTGTTTGCTGTTCTCTGAGTACCTATTAGCTACCAAGCACAATTCTAGAAATTTGAGACACAACAGTAAGAGAGGCAATGCAGTTATGAATTTCATTCTATATGAGTTGGTTAGAGCAAAGAAATAGCTAACAATGGAATTTCAGATCATTCAATAGCTGTGAAGTCCCTAAAAGGATATGACAGAGATCAAAGGCAAGCAAATAAAGGCCAGCAAGCAGTGTTCTAGATTTGGTGGTCCTTCAGTGTTCTCCAAGGAACATTTAAGGAGGGACCTAAGTGTTAACCAAGACCAAAAGGGCATTTTGGCATCAGACTCCACTAACTCTAAAAGGTGGGGTGATAACACATTTAATAAGCAACAAGAAAAACTGACCAATGTGCTGGTGGACACTAGGGTTCATTTCAACCATTTCAAATTAACTTCATTGTGTCTTGTTAAAGAGGTCCATTCTAATCTCCATTCTGAACCTTTCCTCATTTCTGTATAATTAGTCCTTGAATCACGGAAGAAAAGCTTTAAATAACCCTATGCTTGAAAATCTGTATGTTAGATTTTTTTTACTAGAACACAACTAAGAAAATTTTCTTGTTTTTTGAGACAGGGTTTCTCTGTGTAGTCCTGGCTGTCTTGGAACTCACTCTATAGACCAGGTTGGCAGCGAATTTAGAGATCTGTTGGCCTCTGCCTCCCAAGTGCTGAGATTAAAGGTGTGATTTTTTTGTTTTGTTTTGTTTTTTTATAGAATTAAGATTTTTTAAAAGAAAAAAATTGGTGATTTAAAATAAACAACTCTCAAACCTAGAGTTTTTGTCTAAAGTGAAGAGGTGGAAATGTGTCTCATTTCAAACCAGGAATGCTTTGAACCTGGCTAGGCCAAGCTAGAGTCTTTATATCATGACCAGAAAACAAAAGCAATATGATATTGATACACACCTTTCATTCCAGCATTTGGGAGGCGGAGACAGGAGAACTTCTGAGTTCCAGGCCAGTCAGAGCTAAATAGTGAGAGCCTGTCTCAAAAAGCAAAAGAAAAAAACAAACAAACTTCCTCATGTGTACAGTTCAGGCACAAAGAAAGAATAAAGGAACATTTCCTACTTATGGTACTCTGGGCTTTTTAAGGCAATCATAAAACAGAGATGGAGATGAGACTTGGGAAAACTGAAGTGCACTGAAGTATTTCAGTGTGGCTTTTCTTCCTAGACACGGACTACTTCCGCTGACCTTTCTTTCCATTTAACCCTTTTAACCCCAGCTAATAAAAGTTCATTATCCTGGCAGTTTAGGTCAAGTGATACAAGAGATTACAGAAACTGAAAGTTCAAGTAGGGAAAATAAATTAACAGTCTCAAGTCAGAGATAATATTTAATATCTGTTGTACTTCACTAAACCAAACAGTTATGAGCAGTTACTCTTCATTAAATAACACTTCACAGAAATTAGCTATTATCATCTTTTAAGTCATTCACGTGAAAGTGAAAAGAAAACTAATTATTCAGAGAAACACCAGTTAATCACATATGTAAGACACAAGGTATATATAGCCCTGAGGTCCTATAATCTAGACACAAGGTCCACTCCTGAAATAAATCTACTATCCCTGCCTGTCTTCTTTCTTTTCGTTGTGGTAGCAGTGGTGACGGACACTATCAAGGCTTTATGCATGCTACACCTCTAGACTTTCCTATAAGATAGTTAAAAAGACAAGGAGTGAGCATAAAGAAAAAGCAGACTACAAGTTTAGTATTAAATTAAATGATCTTCTAGCCTTCAAACCATACTAGGTCATATGTAAAATTATTAGCCTAGTAATATTAATAATAAGTATATGTAGGACAATTTTACTTTTTTGTTGTTGCTAATGTATAATGTGTTTATATTATGTGTATGTGCACATGCATGCCCTGTAGGCCAGGGGACAACTTGTGGGAGTCTGTTCTCTCCTTCCACTGTGTGGGCCCCAGGGCTGTGAGGCTGGGTGACAAGCACCTTCACCCAGAGTCAACACACTGCTGCACATTATGCTTTTTAAAATGTATTTATTCTTTACAGCAATACTCTGGTGTAATAGTGCATGCACAGTTGTTAAGATCTTTTTTACATGTGAGAAAACAGATGCACACAAGTTAAATACCTTGTGTAAGATCACATGATTTGAAAATCCCAATGAGGTGCTTTGGCTCTCTTCTGTGTTCCTAACTTGTACACTGAACTGATGAAAAGTTAGAAAGGCCTCATACCTTCAAGAAAGCTTGAAGGAAGGAAACTTCAGAATCTGATGTTTGGAATATAAGTTAGTTATACAAAATTCACTGGTAATAAAAGATTTTCTCCCTTCTGAACAGCATACTACCCACCAAGCACAAAGTGTGTTCTACCAATACTAACTTATTTAATCTTTATAACTATTTACACTGATTTGAGAAAAAGGATGCCCCGGAAAGCATTTTTTTTCAAAGTCAAAACAGTAATTGACAGAGTTGAGAGTGGAGCCCAATTGTCCTTGACCATAAATATTACATCATCTGCCTCTCTTAAAAGCAAAACTTTAAGATTTCTGTCTTACACTTCAGTTACTTTAGCTTTGAAGTTGGCAGGGTTCATGATTTAAGGGTACAGAAATTGTAAGGGTTAATTATGTATTAACTGTGTTCTCCTAAAGGGTCTTTGTTGCTGTTGTTTTAAATTTATTTAATTTAATGTTTATGAGTATTTTGCCTGCTTGCATATATATACACCATGTATGTGCCTGGTGCCTGCAGAGGTCAGAAAGGGGTGTCAGATCCTCTAGAACTAGTTACAGATGGTTATGAGCCTCTCTGTATGGGTGTTGGAACCCAAACTCAGATCCTCAGCCCCAAACCCCACCCCCCAAGAATTTTGTGATTTAAAGGCTACGATATTGTAGAACATTCAAGTGAGGTAGGTCATCATCAGGTCATTGGGAATGTGCTCCAGGAAAGTAATTCTTAAAAACTTCAATTCTTCTGAATGGGCTATCATAAAGGGAGAATGTCTGGCCCCATTCAGCTCAACCGTGGCTCAAGATGTAATCACTTGCTCATCTTTAAGTCAGTCACCATTATCAAATCATTCAGCAATGCAACCAAGGAGAAGCCATCACTAAGCTAGGGCTATCTATCCCCTTTGGATTCTTAGCCTTCAACCTCTAAGACAAATAAATTTTTTTCTCCACAAGTAGCCAATACCTGGTATTGTTATAACAATGAAAAAGTGACTAATATGGAAATTCACTGTTCACCAGTATTTTCTTATCATTTAACATCGATACAAAACAGAGACACAAGGAATGCTCATTAAATAAATTAATCCACCATAAATCTGAAGAATATATTTCCTCATAAAACTCAATATAATGAGTTGTTTGTTTATTCAAAAAAAAACTTGATGAGCAAAAAATGTTGCTACTCTACGAATGATCACTTTTTGTTTCTTCAAGTTAAGCTTTAATAATTCAAAAAGGAATATTTTAATGGAAATAAAAATGTGAATGAACTTGAAGTTCTATGTTGACCAAAGCAAGAGAGTAAGATTATTTAGTAAACGTGACGTACCTTTGAGCCGTCTAAACTGATTATCCTGTACACATTTCTTGTGCTGTCATAAAAGTAAGACACAGTGACTGCATGCTTGCTGGTGGGGACCCAGTTCTTCTTTGTGTTTGGGTCAATCTGGAAGACATGAGCTCGAGTGCTGAAGATAGGCTGTTCCCTGAGGGAGGGAAGAAAAAAACTACTGAAAACAGTTTCATTTCATTAGACAAGAGGACACAAAATGGTAACGGTAACTGCATTACTAGAAACTTACACATACCCACAAATAAGTTTTCTTTCCAATATGAATAGTGGAAGTACTCCATTATAAGCTTCTTTAAAACAACTATAGCCAATTCTTGCCACTCAGAGATTCTGTACATACACATGAATTCAGTAAAAGTCATCAGTAACTCTGTGTGGGTTTTTGCCAACTTGACACACACTAGAGTCACCTGGGAAGAAAGAACCTAAACTGAGGAACTGCATGCATCAGAATGGCCTTTGGCCATGTCTCTGAGGAATTTTCTTGATTAGTGATTGATGGGGGGCGGGGAGGGGGGCACTGTTGGCTGTGCCACCTCCAGACGGGTGGTCCTGCATTGTATAAGAAAGCAAGCTGGGCAAGGCAGGAAAAGCAGTCTTCCTCTGTGAATTCTGCTTGAGTTCCTGCCCCGGCTTTCCTCAATAATGGACTGGAAGCTATAAGCCAAATAAATCATTTTCTCCCTCAAGCTTTTGGTTATTGTTTTATCACAGCAATAGAAAACCAAACTAATAGACTTTCAAGTAAGTACCTGTGACTTTTTCCCCTGTCTTACAGAGCTATGTGGGTGGAAAAATGTGAGTTGCCTAACATGAACTTTTCTACCTTGGGATGAACAAGACAATACCTCTCTCTGTCTTGCTTTAGCACTCAGACTATGCAAGCAGGTGTCTTTTTAGTGGTCTGTTTAGCACCACGGTTTTTGCACTGCTGTGCTATTATAGATGCTTTCACTGCTTAAAATGGCCTCTCAGCATAATGCTGAAGTGTTCCTAAGTGTTATATACTCATAGATGCAAAGTTAATGTGCCTTATGAAGAAAAATGTGTGTTAGATAAGATTGATTCAGGCACAAGTCATACTATAATTGGTCACATGTTCAATGTTAAAACAGTGATAATAGTACATGGAATCACATATTAACTGGGTATAGTGCAGCATACCTACAATCCTAGCATTTGGAAAGCAGAGACAGGGTATCTTGTAAGTTCAAGGCCAAACTGAGCTGCAAACATAATGAGATCATGTCTATAAATAAATAAGTTAAAACACTGAAATGAAAGAAATGCACATGAAACAATGTTATGTACTAACTGGTTTGTAAACATGTAATCAGAGACTTAATAGGAACATATTATATTCCCTAGGAGCAAAGGTTCAGTGTTTGTTAGTTAACTATTCCTAGAACCTTTACAGGTCCTGGGTGTTATGACAAACAAGATATAGTATAGAATAGATTATAAAAATAAAAGAATCCTTCTATTTTACCCTGTCTCTAACATTTTATGCACTTACAAGTACATCATTCTGTAATAGCTGAAAGATTTCATTCAAACTATCCTTTCATGAGCTATACTGAAAAGTTTATGGAGGAGGTGCTCAAAACCATAGACAATACTTTCTTAAATCAAATAGGATCTTTAAAATGTACAAGAAGTTTTTACAAATAGTAAGAACAAAAACTAATCAATACTCAAAACAATATTACAAGGTGAAAAAGAAGGCACAGGCAATCTGCAAGCAGGAGTCCTACAATCCAAAGTGTCCAAGGCTTTAGTAAACCTGTTTTGGAAACAACACTCACCAGGCTGTCTTTGCTATTTCTTCCCTTGGTTCAAACATTATTTACTTATTATGTAGAGAGAAAGTCTTGCTATGGAGCCCAGGCTACCCTTGAACTCAAGTTCCTGCTGCCCTAGCCTCCTGAGTACTGAGATTACAGGGGGTAAGGCCTGGCTCAGAATGTTAACCTTTGAACTGGGAATATTTAATATTTAAATCTAAATAAATCAGATTTTATTTTTAAAAATTGAAAGCATTTTTCTAAAGTGTAAGTTTAAGAAAACAGAGTCTAGGAAAAAGAAAAACAAGACAAAGAACAAACACAGCAGTGACAGCAGATCTGGTCTGTGACAAACTGCTCTGAAGCCTCCTGGACAGGGCAGCATGTCTCCCCTCTGTCCACGTCAGCACCTAGTGTTGATAAGAAAGGTCCCTTCCCTGCAGGGGAGCTGCCTCTCACTCAGTTTTATTTCTGGAAATAATACCAGCTCCTCGCTTTTATTAAAGCTTTTTTTTTTTTTTAAAGGAGTAAAACATTTGTGCCAGTCTCTGAAAAAGAAAGTGTAACTGCTGTTAGATGGATTCCCTTGACGTGCTGGTCTGGCAAGGCGGTGCATGGGGAATTCTGAACTGGTGTGGTCTTACTCATTCCCTCTTCTGCAGTTCAGTCCTTCGTTCATAGGGAAGCTGGCCTTACAAGATGACTTATTTGCCTTTTTTGTTTGTTTGTTTGTTTGTTTTTTGAGACAGGGTTTCTCTGTGTAGTTTTGGTCCCTGTCCTGGATCTCTGTAGCCCAGGCTGGCCTCGAACTCAGAGAGATCCACCGGGCTCTGCCTCCCAGTGCTGGGATTAAAGGCGTGCGTCACCACCGCCCAGCCACACACAGTATAGTGACTGGAACTCTTTTGTCCCCCTCTCATGTCAGGGTTTCTTTGTATAACCCTGGCTGTCCTTGAACTCAGAGATCCACCTGCCTCTGCCTCCCAAGTGCTGGGATCAAAGGTGTGTGCTGCAACCACCCTACTGACTGGATCTTTTGTTGTTTACAACGGAAAGGAGATATTTATAGTCCAGACCAGTGATTATAGAAATGTGTTCTAATAAACATTTTTCTAAGAAACTGAGTAGTTAAACTAATGATACTATCCCATCAAGCGTTCTATAAACGGACAAACCTATACTCACTGGAAATGCAATGTCTTAAATAAAGACTCTCCACACATTAGCTTCCTCAAGTTACATGAATTCCCTCAGTAATCCGCTAACTAGTTATCTCAAAAACAAATGACATGTGAATATCAACTAAGTACATGCCCTGTTCAATGCTATGAACAAATGGCTTCTTAATTAAAGCTCAATTTAAGATTTCTGGAAGCTAAAGACTAGGGAAATAACAGTCACTAATGAGACCACTACAACATCTGATATAGCATTCAAACATATAGCAAGATATAGCAAGAACTTCAGTGAGAGGGCTGGAGAGACTGGGAGAGCACTGGCCGCTCTTCCAGAAGATGGGGCTCGACTCCCAGCACCCACATGGCGGATCATAACCACCTGTAACTCAAGATCCACAGTTTCTGACACAATCTCTGGTCTCCTCAGGCATGCACTTGTGTGATTCAAAGCAACCATATCCAGGTTTTTTTTTTAATTAAATAAAATAAGAATTTTAGTGAGTATACAAGATACAAGAATGAAGAAATAGAAAAAAGCCTGTTTTTGAGGGGGTCTCTGCTGGAAGCAAGTGAAGTCAGGCAGGAAATAACTGTGCAGGTTAGGAAGATAAAGGTGGCAGCATTAAGCTTGGAGCATTAAGCATTAAGCATTAAGGCAGGAAATGAATAAAGCCTTAGGTTCAGTCCTTGAAACTGGGGGTGGGGTGGGGAGGGGAGAGTGTGCTGTTGCTATGTAAAGGACAACGGGATGTTATTAAACACCTACAACGTACAGGATAGGAAGACTTATCTATCCCAAAATGTCAATGGTGTGATATGAACCCTGATGAAGGAGGAACCCCAGTTTCCTGGATTTCTATTTTGGGGGACTGTTAGTCAGGGTAGGAAATAGAACACAGGATTTGAGACTGGAAGATGAGAAGTAACACTCCACCTTGACCAAAAAATTGGCATGTAGATCTGTGAGGTTAGAAAGGCAACATTTGTTTAGACCTCAGAAGAGAAAACCATGTGGAATGAAAAGTTTAGGGAAACCATCAGTCTTACAGCCATGCAATTCAAAATATGTTTCAACACTATGCATGTTAATAAGTTTCTTTAGAGAAAAGCTGTAGAAAAAGCAGTAGAGTGAATATAACCAAAATATTATGTCTCATCTTGAGATAGACATATCTCAGACTGACAAGTGCCCAAATGATAAACACAGTATTTGTTCTTGGTAAAAGTTCATCATTTTACTTGCTTCATGATAATTCACAAAAATACTAATGGAATCAAACAGTGTTTTTCTAACTATTTTATGAAACTGAGAAACAACAGTTCCATTTTAAAATATGTTTTGCAAACATTGTGTCATATCCAATTCTAAAGTATCTATCATGTACCTATGAGGAATAAAGATTCTAACAATTCTGCAATAAAGAAATTCATATAACTTTAAATAATCCAGTACATAGACAATTATTTCATCTCTGATCTCCTCTACATGCTAGGGCTTGTATTTATACACACACTATAAAAATTAAGCCACAAACTGAGGTATATATTACCTCACTGAAAATTGGTCTTGATATTTGACATTGCTACTGATGTTACACTTATGTAGTAATGGTCACTGGAAAATATGTACATTTACAGACAATCCAAAATTGAGGGTTTCTTAATAATGACTACAGTATTATTTCTTAAGTAGAGCATTGTTAAGAACACTCAAAGTAATTGCTCTAAGAAATATCAACCTCAAATTAGGTAGCAACAGACTCATCATGAAATGTTTTCAACTAGTTTAGAAAAACAAAACTATATATGCACACACAGATTCACACACATACACAAAATGCCAATCATAGATATATGCCTAGGGTTCTTGATAATTTCTTCCACATCTGTAACCAGATAGTAAGTGGTTGGAAGCACTGTATATATTATACGTATATTAATAAGAACAGCTTAAAGGGTGTTTTTCTGTTGGTTCACTAAATTATTTTAGGAAACTGGGATGAGAATAATTCTAAAATTCTATATATCGTTACAGAGCTAAAATTCTGTTACAGTACTATCTTCAGTGATAGATTCTACAACTTTAAATACAGACATGGGAACCTGCAAATGGAAAATAACTGAGAGGGAAAAAGTTAAAAAAAAAAAATCAGAATTCTATTACAAAAAAA